GTTCGGGTTGTTCAAATAATAAAATTAATCAAAGCTAACACAGAACATACGAAAACTTAAAGAAGCCTAATAATTCTGCACTCCCTGTACTAATATACATACTTTAACAATGTTGAGCTGATGTAGATGTGATGAACTGATGTAGGTGCTCCAAGAGTAGAAATAACCAAGAATCATATTTTAAAAATGGAAAATATATCCCAATAGCACAATAGTTAGACCGCAAATTACACAATTTGACTGATGTCGGGCTACATAGAAATGTAGAAACATGTTAATACATTAGGTTAATGCTGAAGTTCTTTTAACCACTTTCATCTTGTCACCATAACTTTTCTCTGTCAACGAATGTTAATTTAAAGCTGTGCAATTTATAATACTCTTTAGTTTTTGTTTATCTATAAAGATAATTGAACTTTGACTCTTCAGTCCTCCCAACAAAAAGCTATTTTGTATTTTTACAATTTGACCATTTGTATTAGTTCATCACATGTAAACAAGCAAAGCGTAACTAAATGCAATGCTGTAAGTCATCAACATACAGTCACACACGCTTTGTTTACGCAGTGTCCAACACAAAGACTTCCATGTATGACGTGAGGCAAAGATCCAGTGGTTTAAGAAAGAAAGAAAGGAGAGCGGAATGGTATAGGAAGAGGGGATAGCCAGTCCCACAAGGGTAGAGGTGGAAAGTAAACTCAAGGGTGCACCATGTATTTTCTTGTTTAGTCAGATGTTCTCTCCCTGTTCTCTCAAATGTAAGGCATAGTAAAACGCATATGTGTCAGCATGGGAGAGAGTGCAGAGGTAGGTACTCTCTATATTGTTGGGTATACAATTTGTAGACTGTGCAGATGAGTGATTTGGCAATGTATGTGTTCGGGTTTTTTATTTGTTTTTTTCAATCCTCACGTGTGGTGCTAGCATCGGTTCTATTGTCTTTAGATGCGATTCATTTGGCTTTTGCGTTCGCTTATGTTCGTTTATGACAACACAAAGCAATTATAACAGACAGAGCACATAGGGCGAAATACAGTTTAAAGAAGCTTGGAAGCGTATGTTATGGGTGTGCCCCGAATTCCCATTTTTTTCAGAGCACATAGGGCACACATTGTATGTGTCACCTACTTGATTGATGGTCAAACTTGCCATATGATTATTATGATTATTTATAGACATCGTATTCCACAGTGTTTAACAATTATACAATGAGGATTTTTGACAACGGAGGCTTCACCTACATCACAAACTCCGTTGTCAAAAATCCTCATTGTATAATTGTTAAACACTGTGGAATACGATGTCTATAAATAATAATAATAATAATAATAATAATAATAATAAACAGTTACCTGTCAACATCTGGTGGGATAATCCCAAAATGAGGTTTCAGTCCTGCTTTCCAAAGAAAAGCCCCATTAAACAAAGAACAAGTTCTTTATTAAACACAACTGCGGCAGAGCCAGGCAACTCCAAGTCAATGTGTTAATACTTTAACTCTCCAGCAACACTCTGCGCCAGGCAGGCTGAGAACAGGTAAAAAATGTATTACCTTAAGTATCAAACCATATACTTTATTAAGATAATTTATATTTGTTGCCTAAGGACAAGCTATGACTAGATGTTGACCTATCATGTTATTCCCAGTTTATTCGTACTTGTTGTATCAATAGAAGACCCATTTGTTTTTTGTTTGTTTTTTGCTACCAAATCTCTCCAGGGGAATATTCACTAAACCCTTGAAATATGTAGAATTGCAAAATGTAGATAAGACTTTGTATCACTTGTTCAGCTATTTAGAAAGATTTACTTACCCTAACACATGTCTGGACATAAGTAAATTAATTCTTTATGCGTTACAGATATGAACCTCTCAATCCTGTCGCATAATGCCTTAAATACCTGTATTAAATAAATGGAATGTAAAATATGTATATCTGATTGTGTAACAGGAAGCAAACAGTAGTGTGCATTCATGGATGCCCAGATCCAGTAAGGTAACACACACTTATCTGATTCCCGTCTATAATCTATAAATACCTGTGCTGCCATGCGTTAAGGCAGGCAAGTGGTTAATAGGCTGCACCATAGATGGCTGGGTTGGGGGCAGGGAGATGCACAAAGATAGAGGGATGGTAAAAATAAACTGGAATTCTCTCCAAATAACTCAGTAGGGAGCTTTACCAAAAAAGGAGGGCAAGGAGTGTTTATCTCTCTGAGCTGGACCCTAGAGGGAGGAAAAGATGGGCATATTGGAAGAAGGTTAAAGACAGGACGTTCAGATTCGACATCAAGCAAAGTTTAAAAAAAAATTAACAATCTATGTCAAAATGAATGGTTTTAACCCTTTCAGCTGCATTTGATATACCCTGAGGATTTCCCAGGCACTTGCAAGGATAACTGTTTCTCAGAATTCCTAGCTTCTTTTTTGTTGTTTTCTTGACTTCCAATTTATTATTATTATTATTATTATTATTATTTTACTCATTTAAGACCAGTGATATATCTAGTACACTTTTTGTTGTAGCCACAAAGGCTCAAGGCTCATTGAGATGCACCTGTCATCCATAAATGATGTGGTCACACGCTATTGACTAAGCTCCAAAGGTGATGGGTACTCTTTGATAAACATTATCTCCTGCTACTTTTTAATGTCACTTTCACCTCTTCAATGTTCAGAAGATTAGATCGCTCCTCACCTTCTCTGCTTTGAAATTCTGTATCCATTTCTCTTTCCTCATCAGACTTGCTGGCTGTAATTCCCTCATGCATGACATTCCACAACACTTCATCATTCTACTTCAGCAAATGTAAATGCTGGCAGTATACTCCTCTACATGATCCATGCCACCCTCAATGGTCCTTCATACTTCAAAAACTCCACTGACTTCCAAATTTCCCAGCACTCCATTTTCAAATCTGCTCCCTATCTCTCCTCACAATAGAGTTACATGTTCTCTCTACTTGATTTCTTCCACATCGTTTATCTCACCCCATATTCATGTGCTTTGTTTCAATCCCTGGCCCATTACCAATAGAATATATCTGTCCAATCATCCAATAAGCTATCTGTCATCCCTCATCTATTTACATATTCCTGAAGACACACCCCTTCAAAAAAGGCTTCCATCTATCCATGTTCTGGTCCTCTCAGTCCACTTTATCTGAGCTCACCCTATTACCTGTACTCCCTGATCCCCAACTGTGTAACCATCACCTTGTCCACTACTTCCCCCAGCTGGTCCTCCACACAATCAGTTTACGCATACTATTTTCTTGTTTTATGTACCTTAATAATTTATAAAGTGCACTTTAACTATTTCGGTGTGCACTCAGATTGCAAAATTCTATAAAAACAATCAAATTGGATTAAAAAGAAATGAGGACTTAATTACTCACGTTTGACTTTTCTATTAAAAAAATAATTATGTATTTTAATTATTCACTTTTTGTTCTAGTTTCATTTCTCTTCCTGAGATATTTTGCATGTCATTAACCATATCTCTGTAACTTTCAAATCCTTCTTGGTTGATTACTGATTTTACCGGCACAAACTATGTGTATGTTCTGTAACATTTGTTAAACAAAATGGAAAAAAATCATATATAAATTTCAAGTCATTACAGTCTTTAAATTATATTTAAGGAAATAAATATTTAAAAACAGCTTGCAAAAGTTGCAGCCCCCCCTTTTAGCCAAGCCCAGACTTTATGTGGCTTGCCAATCATAGACTGGGCAATTGTCTGTCTATTGAGTTTGAATCCACTGAGCTAAACAACCAGGAAGTAACATGACCTGTTGCCTGATTGACAACCATGGGGGTGTAACAAGCTTATTTAATAAAAGTGTCAATTTCTATTGAAATCTGTACATATTGTAAAATAAAAAAGAAGACACTCTTTATACATAAAGCATTCCAGTAAGCTAAAGTTCTTTAGGGGTCTGGATTTATCCTTTAACATTTTCATGCTGAAATACACCATAGTCAAACACAGACATTTCAGTTTTCAGTCAATGAAATACACACCCTTTTTTTTTAAATTCTTTATTTTTGAGTGCAGAGTAAATTACAGGCATAAACACTGACTTGTTCAACACATGAGATCATCATGAACAGTTCTTATGGGTAGTCAAGAGATGCTGCACTTTTTTTTTTTTTTTTTAAACAAGTTTGAGATATGAGGAAGACAAGAAAATGATATAGTGATGATTTGCATAACTGATTAAGCTAAGCATACATATCTATTCGCTTTACCAAGATTAAGTTTATGCACAAAATACTTGCTAGATATGAAAGGTTGCTTGATTCATATATTTATAGCAGTAGCTTTACAAACAGGCTAGTGTAGTTTGGTTATAATTGGTATTCAGGCTAGGTCTTGTGATGTCGCTTTAATGCCGTTTTCACCCCGGCCGTTAGGAACTACCAGTGCTGACTCAGTGAGGAGCCGTCGTTGTGGTGTTGCTGAGACCTCAAATACAGGGGTAGTTCCGCTGCTATCCGATACCTGCTCTGTCCGTTTCATGCAGCAGTGGGTGAGTGTCCACCAGAGCAGGCAGCAAAACACAGTCCAGCCCTGCCGCTCTTTGAGACATTCGCCGGCTTCCCTGGGGTTGCAGCCGTGGTACGGAGTGCTTGTCCTGCTTGGTCCCCTGGGGGCCGTTGTCAGCCGCGATGGGGGGTCCGGCGTCATCCACACATAGCTGCCGCTGCAGGGTTCGTGCTGTTGCAGGCTGAGTGGGAGGCAAGTAGGAGGTCTGTCTCACCGCTGAGGTGACACGCTTGGTGGTAGACTCGGTCCCTCCATACAGCAACGGCCGGTCTGTTGTGTACCCCCATCCCCCCAGGGCAGCCGCTGACATCGCTGACTTGAGTGGCTGTGTTAGTGGGTAAAGGTAATCCTGCTTCCCTGTATGGCATGGTCTAGAGGCAAGGGTTGCAGTATCGGCTGTGAGAGCGGGGAGTGAGCTGTTTCTCCCCATGTCTCCTGTGCACATGTCGTCTGCCATCTTGGGCATGGCTGTTAGGCCCCCTAGCTTCAGCCGCCATGTCTTCGTCAGGGCCTTGGGGTGAGGACCGGGATCACCCCCACCGGTCTAGAGGGGGGGGGACAGGGCCTTGTCCACACTCGTTTGGGCCCATGGCTGGGTTCTGTTAGGCAGGATAGTGGGGCAGCGGCCGTCTGCCCCTCTCACCGCCGGAGTAGGCCTCGATTGTGGCATCGGTGCCCTCTCCTCCAGGGGACTGCAGCTCGATAAGCCAGCCTCACCCTGGATCCAGTGTCCCTTTAGCTCTGTGGACCGCCGCTGGTGGTTGGTTCTGGTGCTGGAAATCATAGTTTCAAAGCCTAGAGTTTGATGGCTTGCAGGAGCTCAGCATGCATGCTGCCATCCAGCTCGGCGGTCGGGCCCCGCCCCCACACACCCTTTTTAAATAAAAAAAAACCCAGGCTTTAAATCTGTCACAAATATATAAAATAAAAAAAAGACTTAGATATAAAAAAAACAAAAAAACATATGCACACTGATTTAATTCTTTTCACTAAGGTTTTTAAATGATCAGTCTCAAAACAAATGATTTATCTACAGTAGTCAAAAGTCTTTGGAGATTTTTGTAGATAAAACATTTGTAAATTTTTCTAACAGGTTATGATAATTTGAAAAGCTTACTTAAAAGAATTCAATCAAGGCCATATAGTAAGAAGGCTATATAGAAATATTCTTCAATTTCATTTCTTTTTAGTTTAACTTAAAATGCATTTCAATCAGGGCTCGGGTCCTGCAGGAATGCATGGGAACGGCGTTCCTGCCCTTTTTTCACAGCATGAACGCTGTTCCCGTTTGTGGTCCTGCAGGACTTGATTGTCCGCGAGGCACACAAGGCATTGACCTTGTTAGCCTCGGGGCAGGCGGGTGGCAAGGGAGCACTAATCTGTGAGCTCTCCCTGCTCAGCTCACTCACACGCCACAGAGTGATGCTGGAGAGCCGGAATATGACGTCATATTCCAGCTCCCTGCATCACTCTGCTGTGCGCGATGGAGCTGAGCAGGGAGAGCTCACAGATCAGCGCTCCCTCTCCGCCCGTCTGCCTTCCTGCCTGCACAGACCGGCCAGCAGCCCCACTGGACAGGTAAAAAATCCACCCAGTTCTCCCAAATGTAGGGAGGCTGGGTGGATTTTAAAAAAATAATCTGTGAGTGTTTGGGGGAAATGTGTGTGTGTGTGTATGCATTTATGTATGTGTGATGTGTGTGTGTGTGTCTGGCTGTCAGTGAGTGTGTGTATCTGTGAATGAGTGTGTGTCTGTCTGTCAGTGAGCCCCCCTGCCCACTCACAGTGCCCCTACCCACCTTACAGCCCCCACCCACCTCATAGCCCCCTACCCACCTCACAATCCCCCTACCCACCTTACAGCCCCTCTACCCACTCACAGTCCCCCTACCCACCTTACAACCCCCCAACCTACCTTATAGCCCCCTACCTACTTCACAGCCCCCCTACCCACTTCACAGCCCACCTACCCACTCAGTCCCGCTACCCACTCAGTCCCCCTACCCACATTAGAGAACACCTATCCAATCTTAGTCCCCCTAGCCACCTTACAGCCCCTACCCATACAGCCCCCTACCAACAATACAGCCCCCTACCCACCTTACAACCCCCTACCTACCTCACAGGCTCCCTATCCACCACAGACCCCTCTACCCACCTCACAGACCCTCCTACCCACCACAGACCCCCCTATCCACCTCACAGACCCTCCTACCCACCTCACAGTCCCCCTACCCACTCACAGGCCCTCTACCCACCTCACAGCCCCCTACCCACCTCACAGTCCCATTACCCACCTTACAACCCCCACCCACCACACATACCCCCTACCCACTTACAGACCCTCCTATCCACTTACAGACCCCCTACTCTCTCACAGCCCCTATCTTCTCACAGCCCCCCACCTTCTCACAGCCCGCCTACCCTCTCACAACCTTTCTACCCTTGTCACAGCCATCCCCACCCTGTCTCCTCTCACACCGTCACAGCCCCCCACACACACACCCTGTCACCTCTCCACACACACACCTTGTCACTCCCCCATACACGCACTCTGTCCCTCCCACACACCCACACACTGTCACCCACACACACACTCTATCATCCCCATATACACACTGACACCCCCTCCATACAATATCACCAACCCCAATTACTTTCAGCCTCCACACACTGTCACCCCTTCACCCAATTATATATATGCATACCAGTGTATAATTTATTTTAGGGGGGGAGGTGGATCTTGGGTGAGTTCCCACACTTTTTCCCCCAGGACTTGACCCCTGATTTCAATCAAACTGAAGGAACACTGTCACCGTGCCCTCAGCATATGAACTACAGTAACTACAGTAGCTTCTGGTGAAGCTACACATGGATCCATGCACTCCCATAAAGCATTATGGTGATTTTCTCAATGCAATGTGTGTAATTGTGGACAAAGCATAGTTTAACTGTGTATCTATAGCAGTACATGTTGACCAATAAACCAATTAAACAAATTGTTGGGGCTATGCCTATCTTTTATTAGTGAAAAGGAAACTAAAATTTAGTTATGAGTTTTGCAATCTGTTTTGATTTTTTTTATATATGAACCACACTTTTTTAACATTTTTGTATGCCTGGTTGTATTGACAATGCTAGAGCAAACCATTTCAAACCTTGTAGATAAATGACATAATGTAAGGAATGTACATTATGGGGCAATAATATTGCCCTGGATATGCAAATGTGGTGGAGGAAAGTGTGTTTTAACTTATCTCTGTCACCAATCACTTTAACTTACTTTTTTCCACTTAATGTAGCACCACCTAACTGACCGAGATCATTGAGACTGATGATCTCAGCCAATACACTGTAAGGCTAGTGCGCATGCGCACCTGGGACCACCTGACTAAAATAGCAGAGCTTTACTCTGCTGTTTTATGAAAGCACCTCTAGTGGCTATTGATATTAAGCACTTGAATGGTTAGAGACAGTTCCACTTTTAAAAGGAATTTTGTACCTCGACAATAACATATTTCAGGATGATAAGCAAAAACCTTCTAGTATAAATATTAAGAATGCTAAACTCCATTTCACGCTCCAAATGATGAAATCTCAGAGATTATCAGTCCTTATAAAGGGGAAATTGTCATTTTAAACAAATTACATGGAAAAGTAAAAAATAAACACTTGCCCATTGTGTCTTGTTACAATGGAATCAGTGAGTTAATCTAGATATTCAGAAATACAGGTTCCATGTGTGTGTGTCAGTGGGCACAGGAACAACAGTCCAGTACATCTACTTACTGCAAATGATCCGTTCCCCAGGGGCTCAACCCCTGCCTGCCACACTGAATCGAAGTTGTGCAGTAAGTTTATATATAGAGAGAGAATGAATAGGAGTTATTTCAATGTAGAGCACATTATATTCCTATCCTTTTTGTTTATATGTTATTTGTAACTAAAGTGCCAGAGCGCTGCGTAAGTATTTTTAATATAAATAAAAGCAGGTGCAGACTTTTCGTGCCAAATCCTCTGTTCCCATGCCTTAGTATTGGCCCAGTTCTACTATAGCTTATAGGACTCATCTGCCCTCTCTGGAAGGTATCAGGGAAAGTTCACAGGAATTTGAGTGGAGACAGCACCGGGCACGGAATGTAGAAACAGCTTAGAGTGCTAGCTACAAACAACTACCACATGAATGTGACCTTATTTATCAAGGCACTTAACACAGTTAATATGCTAAAAGTCCCAGATTTTACAACCAAGTTACAACCATCATGCTTTCCAAGAGTTACATTGCAGAAGTACATTTGTGCTGCTGTGTTAAAGGACCACTATAGTGCCAGGAAAACATACTTGTTTTCCTGGCTCTATAGGGTCTCTAGGTCCCCCCCCCCTCCCGCTGGGCTCTAGGGGGTGGAAGGGGTTAAATTTACCTCTTTTTCCAGCGCCTCCTCCTCTCCTCCTCCTTCTCGTCGTCATTGGCTGAATGCGCATGCACAGCACAAGCTGTGCGCGCATTCAGCCAGTCCATAGGAAAGCATTCTCAATGCTTTCCTATGGACGCTGCCGTCCTTTTATCACTGTGAAAATCACAGTGAGAAGCACGGAAGCGCCTCTAGCGGCTGTCAATGAGACAGCAACTAGAGGCTGGATTAACCCTATTATAAACATAGCAGTTTTTCTGAAACTACTATGTTTATAGAAGAAAGGGTTAATCCTAGCTGGACCTGGCACCCAGACCACCTCATTAAAGGACCACTATAGTGCCAGGAAAACATACTCGTTTTCCTGGCACTATACAGCCCTGACCGTGCCCCCACCCTCAGGGTCCCCCTCTCGCCCGGCTCTGGAAAGGGGAAAAGGGGTTAAACTTACCTTTTTCCAGCGCTGGGCGGAGAGCTCTCTGCCTCCTCTCCTCCTCCGATCCGCCCCGTCGGCTGAATGCTGACACGCGGCAAGAGCTGCGCGTGCAGCCGGTCACATAGGAAAGCATTCTCAATGCTTTCCTATGGACGCTGGCGTGCTCTCACTGTGAAAATCACAGTGAGAAGCACGCAAGAGCCTCTAGTGGCTGTCAATGAGACAGCCACTAGAGGGAATGGGGGAAGGCTTAACCCATTGATAAACATAGCAGTTTCTCTGAAGGACTAGAAGGACCTGGCAGCCAGACCACTTCATTAAGCTGAAGTGGTCTGGGTGCCTAGAGTGGTCCTTTAAGCTGAAGTGGTCTGGGTGCCTAGAGTGGTCCTTTAAGCTGAAGTGGTCTGGGTGCCTATAGTGGTCCTTTAAATGTGGATCCCCTCCCACCCCCCTGTTTCATAAGATAAAAAGCCTGACCACAACTCCAGGATTCTAAAAGTCTGTTCATTGATAAAGTAAATATTTTATTCAATAGACAATGAATATTCTAGTGTTTGCTAGCTAGTAGAAAAGAATGGAATGTTCTGTTTTATGTTACTGTAACTCTACTTCCAGTATCACTTATAGCGACACTATAGTCACCAGAACAACTACAGCTTATTGTGTTTGTTCTGGTGAGTATAATCAGCCCCTTCAGGCTTTTTTCAGTAAACACTGTATTTTCAGAGAAAATGCAGTGTTTACATTAGAGCATAGGGATACCTCCACTGGCTACTCCTCAGATGGCTACTAGAGGTGCTTCCTGGGGCAGTGCTGCACAGTGTGGAGCACTGACATTCAGTGTCTTCACCACCTGCATGGAAACACTGAACTTTCTTTATAGAGATACCTTGATTCCATGCATCTCTATGAGGAGATGCTCATTGGCCAGGGCTGTGTTTGGCTTGTGCTGGCTCTGTCCCTGATCTGCCTCCTTGACAAACTCAGCCGATCCTACGGTAAAGCATTGTGATTGGATCA